CCCAGTGTGTTAAGTCTTAAAAATGACCTTTTGGCAGTGGAGTAATCTGAATGTAAGTTGTTTCATTACTTGTGCGCATGCACTGCAGTTACTTTTGTTATACCTTAATGCAATGTAAGTTGCACTTTCTGTGGGTTTTCTATACTTTGTTTTACGTTTTCTACATTTTATTGTTGTTGTTCACATTAGAGAGTTACTGCTCAGCTTCTGGAATTATTATAATGAAAGAGTAAAACGATATGGAAAACAATTGTCCATACTTCTGCTGGGGCATTTAGGCATTTGTACTATGTTTAGGTCACTCATAATTTGATTTAATGTTTCATGGCTGGGATAGAAGTGATTAGGTTTGGTGATAGTCTAATATTTTCCATATACTGTTAACTGAGACAGATGCTTTTATATTGCTGCATTTATTAGGTCATTATGTGTGGTGTAAACCATTGAGCAGCATGTTTTATAGAAATACTGGTATTGTATATTTTTGGATACTTTTTTTGTTAAAAAAAAAAATAAAATAAATCACAGCAGTATAATGTGCAGTAGTTTTATCCATATTGCCAAGTTCTAGAAGTGAGATTTAAAAAATGAGGCAATTTTTCATATAGTTTCAATGTTTCACTGTTTGTGAAGTATACATTACCATCAGTCAAACAACTTTGACCAAGTTCATGTTTGGTTAATGTTTTATGGTTACTTAATAAATGAGTAACTTGCATTTAAATTGCCTGTGTTAATCTGTCTTTAAATGTTTGGTTAATGTGTGTATTCACAGATTTTGAGTTAAATCTACATAAAAATAATGAAATAAGCAGCAAAAAAAAAATAAAGTATCTGTTGTACACTTTTGAGTTAAAAGTCAACAAAGTTTTAAGTCACAATAGAGTTTATACAGCTTAAGTGAACTTAAATATGTTCAGTAAATTTCACATTAAAAATGTATTAGTCAGCAACTAATTGCTTTTAGTTACAGGTAATTAATAAGTACAAGTTAACTATACTAAATTCAGTATGTAAAAAGTGCTTATTAAAGAATGTTCTTTTAACTTAGAAAGTCGAGTTGGTGTAAATTTAAAATAATCAGTTAAACCTACTTAAAAAACTAAGTTACTTTCA